AAAAAAAAAAAAAAAAGTCACCTCTTGAGAGACCTTCTTTGACCAATCTAATAGATACTTTCCTTTCCTTTCATCACTTGATCTCCTTAACTTACTTAATTTTTTCTCAAGAACTAATCCCTAGTTGAAATTATGTTATATATTTGTTTACTCATTCATTGTCTGTCTCTCTCATTAGAGCAACATGAGGGCAGGAATCTTATATGTCATAGTCATTGCCATATCCCCAGCGCTCAAATAAATGTCTGCCCCTTAGGCACTCTATAAGTATTTGTTCAATAAACTGTGAATGAAATCTCACTTTGGCAATTAGGTAGATATTCAAAACAACATATTATAGTCTTTATTAACTGCCAGATTATGTGCTAGATGCAAGAGATAAGTGTATATCTAAGGCATGGTTCTTCCTGTACTCTTAGAAGGGAGAAAGGCAAAAATACATTTTCAATACAGTAAGTATACCCACATCAGTACCACCAGGGTAGCACAAATGAGGGAGTGAAAATGATTTTACACTCACCTGGAAAATCTAGGGTGGAAAGGGATTATATTTTAAGAGAGAACAGTATGAGCAAAGGCACAAAGCATAAAACAGTATATAACTTCTGGCGAAATTCAAGTTTAGAGAGGCTGAGACAACACATGGGTATTGAACTACTCTACTGTTTTGAGTCTATGCCTTATATCCTCACAGTTACTGTGAACTCTCTAAAGTCAGAGGAACATCACATATTTCTTTTCCACTTTCCATATATCACAAATAGACAGTAGCAAGTTTTTGAAGTGAATGGGCTTCTGGTGTAGTTAAGTTGATCCTAGGGAATAATTGGAGGGCCTTTAGAATAGGGTCTCTTGGTTTTGCTTAAATGTATATATATATGTTATATTATATTATATTATATTAATTATATTGGTAGGGTTTTAGAAATTGAAAAAAGAAAAAAAGATACTAATTGTCCCACTCATATTAACTTACCATACAATGTTCCCAGAAAAGATTCATCTAAAGCATTGATCAGAAGAGCCTTCACAACTCTTTCAAAGTGAGTATAGTGGTCACTAAAAGAATCTGAAATTAATTTTAAATACATATTAGAACATAACAGATGAAACAATTCCCTGAATAAAATAGTTTCCTTTCTCTAAGAAATTAATACTATAAATAGGAGAAATCACTTAGTCATCCTAATTTTATAGCTGCCTCGGTGACTTTTCTAGTCACTGAGCAAACCTCCATTTTCCAGATTTACTGGCTTCTAATCCAAAATTTCAAGTTGTTATTTAAATTAATCTTCACTTGGGGCGCCTGGGTGGCTCAGTCAGTTAAGCATCATGATCTCACGGTCCGTGAGTTCGAGCCCCGTGTCGGGCTCTGTGCTGACAGCTCAGAGCCTGGAGCCTGTTTCAGATTCTGTGTCTCCCTCTCTCTCTGACCCTCCCCTGTTCATGCTCTGTCTCTCTCTGTCTCAAAAATAAATGAACGTTAAAAAAAAATTAAAAAAAAATAAAATAATCTTCACTTTCCAAACTTATTAAGAGAAAACTGTTCAGAAAATATTAAGAGATATGTTGTGAAAAAAGCCCCAAATCATCCCCTGTGCACCTAAGTTTAATTATCAACTTAATAATTAGAGTGAGAGAGCAAAAGAGAAAACTTCTACAGGTAGATTGTTCAATATGTACCTGCAACTCCTGACTTTCCTTCTTTCTAAAACATGTTACATATGAAATTGTTCAGGAAATTATTACCCTAGCCAGAACTCCAATGGCTATAAAAACTCGATTTCCCTTTCTCTGTCCCAGATTTAGGATTTTCCACATCAATTTAGAAAAGTTCTCTCTTCTCTTTCTCCTACCAAATATATAAGCCTATCTTCCCACTAACCCAATGTGCTCCATGGAATCATCTATTGTGATGGGCCAGGCTACAAGAGAAGGTCCCTGTATTTCCCAATACTTTAGGGTCCAGGTTTACTATGGCTGTAGAAATATTCTCTATCAAAGATAACCCCTTCCATGACCCAAATGGTCATCACAGAACATTTGCCATGGGCACCTATAAAGAATATTAGGGTATTTTAGGAAAAGTGGAAGATGCCTGATTATAAATTTAAGCAAAATAAGACCTATATTAGCATTCATGACTGAATTTTGACGTGCTTTCTGTTGAAATGAAATGAAAATAAGATTTAACATGGAGAAACTTTTAGCTTGTATTTTAGCTACTAAAACAGCTGTATAACCTTTTTTCTGGACTTCAGGAAAAATTTTTAGTATGCATTCTTTTTTTTTTTTAATTTTTTTTTAACATTTATTTACTTTTGAGACAGAGAGAGACAGAGCATGAACGGGGGAGGATCAGAGAGAGGGAGACACAGAATCTGAAACAGGCTCCAGGCTCTGAGCTGTCAGCACAGAGCCCGACGTGGGGCTCGAACTCATGGACCGCGAGATCATGACCTGAGCCGAAGTTGGCCGCCTAACCGACTGACCCACCCAGGCTCCCCAGTATGCATTCTTTTTTAAGAAAACATGTTATGGTCGTCTGGGTGGCTCAGTCGGTCAAGCATCTGACTTTGACTCAGGTCATGATCTCACGGTTCTTGAGTTCGAGCCCCTCATTCGGCTCTGTGCTGACAGCTCAGAGCCTGGAGCCTGCTTCGGATTCCTGTCTCCCTCTCCCTCTGCCCTTTCCCACTTGCGCTCTGTCTCTCTCTCTCTCTCTCAAAAATAAATAAACATTAAAAAATTTTTTAAAAGGAAAACATGTTATTATGATACTGAAGTGGTCAAAATAAAGCAGTGATAAAATTAAACGACTATAGCAGATAATTTACACAAGGGCATGTAGACTTTAGAGGGCCTATGATCAATTATAAATTACAAAAGAACTGATCACAACCATTTATGAATTTTTTAAAAAAATCAGAAGATAATTGGAAAATGAAATAATACTTTAATAGCATTCAATTTTGTCTAGACTTTCATCAAACTCTGGATATAATATAGTGTTGGTACATAATTTAATTTGTGAGTGTTAAAATGCATTTAAACTCTATCTAGTATTTCCCAAACTCTATTAAAGGAAAAATGTTCTAAGTATGTTAACAGACATGTTGAGGAAAGAAACATCAAATTCATCCCCTGTGCTCCCAAGTTGAGCTATCAAATTGAAATAGAATTTTTTACCCCACTGAATTTATTAGTCTTCGAATGTACTAATGCCTAACATTACTCATTTGCTGTAGAGTTTGGGAACAGCTGTTTTATTTTAAAGAACCTGATGGCATTTCTTCAGAATTGGGAGTAAAAAGAAAGGGCAGAGGATCAGAGTCATCTCGAGAGTTTTGCCTCACCACAAAATCTGTGTTCTACCAATTGACATCAGTATCTCCTTGAAAAGAGTCAGGAAGGCCTCAATTTCCTTGTGTTTGAGTGAATGGATGGGTGGTGGAGGAATTATGCTCCTGGCATCTCAGATTGGAAAAAAAAAAGATTTTATTGGGCAAATAAATGGCAGGCACTGTTTTATACACTTACATGCATTGCTTTACTTCTCAATACAAGTCTATGAGGTACTATCAATACCCTTGGCTTATTTTTAAAAGTTAAGGAAATAAATGCAAAGAGGATGAAAAATTTCCCTAAAATCACACAGCTAGTGAGGGTTGAAAACAGCACTGGAACCCAAGCAGTCTGACTCCAGATTTCATGCGACTATCCCCTAGGTAGATGTTCTGCGTGGTAGTCAGGTTTGATAATATTATTGTTCAGAACACGGAATTTAGACTTGGATGGGAAATTGGAGGAAATAATTCAAATCTCTCATTTAAAAATTTTAAAAATGACACAATTATGAAATAATGTACCCAAGGTCACAAAACTAGATAGAGGAAGAATCAGGATTAGAGTTCAGACCTCCTCCAGAGTTGTTTTTTTTTTTTTTTTTTTTTTTTTTTTTTTTTTTTTTTTTTTTTTTTTTTTTTTTTCCAGTGCTTTAATCGCTATATTGGATGAGCTTCTGTGGAATATCCGAGGAATATCATTTAAAATTTTCTTCTATGACTATTAAAAAACTGCAAAAGGATACAGGAGAAAATCAACAGTATTTGTGTCTATGCATAACTTGATTTTTCCAAGGTAGTTTAATCTTGGGATAATTTCCCCATACTCAATCGTAGGATACGCTGCTCATTCTGTTGATTTTCCATGCATCTTTTATCATGTTTTAGTTTCACATATATGCCAAGATTTTGTACCAGCACCGTGTACCTTTCTTAATGACCTGTCACTGCCATGCCAGTACTATACTGTTTTACTTACTGGAATTTTTTGATAAATTTTTATATCTGGTGGGGGAAGTCCTTCTAATTTTCTGTTTGTTGTCTAATTTTATTTATTCCCATATATTTTCCCCAAGTGAACTTCAGCACTGTTTTGCAAAGTTAAATCAAAAAGTTAATTTCCGAAGAAATAATTTCTTGTTCTATTTATTGCTTTCCAGAAACATGGTGTGTCTCTCCTTTCATTCATGTTTCCTTTGCTATTTCAATGTAAGGTTTATTCTTGTACCTATAAAGTCATGCTTTTCTTCCTAAGACTAGGCCTAGGAACTTTATTTTAATTGCTACTATACATGGAATTGTCCCTTATTAGATCTTTTAAATAATTATTGACAGCATGTAAGAAAATACTGAATTTTACATATTCATTGTGAATCTGGTCATCTTTCTGAGGTCTTTTGCAAATTCCCAAAAGATTCTCTTAGATATTTGTGGAAAGTGAGCTTCCTGACACATCAGAGTGCTTGATAGAGGGAGATACTGTTCGGGAATTCCTGGGCAGTAACTCTGCTTTCTCCCCCAACGCTGAGAAGGATGTGGTCTTGCTAGTGCTAAGTTTATTTCAAGAACCAAGAGGATGTTTATAAATATTCTCTTAGGTAGAAGCACAGAGATTGTTGGTGTACTTTCTTCTGAAATAGAAGTATAAGCCTACTGTAAGAAAGCAGAGGCAGAGCAAGAAATTGAGTTCTCTTTCTACCCTAACATGTCCCCCTCAACAGGCAAAAAAGAACACAAGAAAACTATGGAAATATATGCTGCATCTACTCCTGCTCTCAATGTATTCATATCCTTTCTCTTAACTTTTATATCCCTGGCTAAATAAGTCAGAAACTTACAGCTTGTATGCATGTATATATAAAATCACATTATGTTCAAGTAATGTCTTTTCCATTTCAAAAGTTGTATTTCTTTTACTTTGTCTTATTACATTGTTCACAACATCTAGAACAAAGTAGGACATTTTTGTTCTTTGACAGTATCTCTAGCGCTTCATTATAAATATATATTCTCTTAATGTAAAATATTCTTTGTTTTGTAAAGGACATATGCTCATATTACTATTTTTGAGACTTATTTTCTTGTTTTTAAACTAGATATGGGCACTGAATTTCATGAGATGCTTTTTAGAATCTTTTAAAATTAAGCCATTATTTTTTCTCTTTTGACATATTAATGGAACCTGGAACCAATTAATATATTAAACCATTTTTATGGTCCTAAAAAGGATGGCTAGATAACTTTTCTTCATTCTTGTAATCAGAAAAGTTGTTTCCTTCAAATGTCTATTTGCAAATCTATTTTATCAATTTATTAGGATGTGAGCCTCCTTAATTTGCATAAATGGGCATGTCCAGCAACTCAACTGTATTTTCTCCCATCACACCTTTCAGTTCACATTTCCATATGTCCTTCCATCCAGAAACATGCTATATCTCTTAGCACTTCAAATCTTTTACATATCCCACTAAAGCTATAGAATTTTCTTCCTTTAGGTTTCCATTTATTCTGCATTTCCACCCCCCCCCCCTTGAAATTTGTGAAATAGGATCATTTCTATTCGTTTATGTATTATCTTCTCCCTCAGAACTGTTTTCATTTTCTCTACTCCAAAATAACTTCTTGGATTTAACCTATATATCATTGATGATATTTTCTGTACTGTTAATTCAGTTTTTTACATCTTTCAATATAGATTTTACTTCTGACTTTACATTTTTAATTC